TGATGACGGACTCTGAGGCAATCGGGCAACGAGCGACGTTTCTTATGTGTGTACTTTACCATGCAAGCTACATTTCAGTGGAGGCGAATGGCGAATGACTCAAGGTTTTAAGGTCGATTTTTGAAAGCCTCACATGACTTCGAGGAACCGGGTGTAACTTCTGTGAATACGTTGCAGCGTTGCGGGATTGCATACCCAATATGGCTGCAGGGGCCGCCATGGCCCCTTACGGGTGTAAAGCGTAGGCAAACCCGCAACACTGCGGTGTATTCACAGCTACCCCCGCGCCCGCAGTACGTCCACAATGTAGACGTCAACAGCACCATGCGTTAATTTACGACCAAATCATTGGAGATCATGGAGAGCTTCATCGAGGTGCAATTTTGTTGGGCGTAATTCCCGTGGACGTGTCGGTCCCGACCCGCCGTGTGGAGAGTTGAACGCAACCGCATTGTCCAACCTTTGGACCGCACTGCGTTGCGTACGACTCATTCTGATTGGCGAGTGTGGTGTTTGCCTCACAAAGGAACTAGGTCCACAACACACACCTGCAGTGCGGATACTGCCTGCCGGTATTGCAGAAACAATGAACAACTAAAAGGTACTAATTGGTCGAGTATAACCAAGCCGATCTCTTCTTTGGAGCCCCCCCTGCCCCTATGCGAAGACGCTTCGATCTTGATCTCGGCGTCTGCTGAAGCGACACGCATCGAGACCCAAGTGCGTGCATGTCACACACTTGTTGGTGTGTGAAGAATATTTGTCCACATGGAGGCACAACTGTGTGCCCCGAATGAATATTCGCACACCTAGATCTGTACGAACGGACATTAACACACTTACACGTGTAAGAAAGGACATCCACACACCTAAAAGTGTGCTACATTTACACACCTGAAAGTGTGATACTTTCACACACACCTGCAAGTGTGCGATGTTCACACCCTTGCGTTTTCAGTGCACGCCCTCACAGGGCCACCGGCTGGCGCTCACGTCACTCATACTCACGGCTTTCGTGTCGTGTCCCACGTCGCTTCGCGGAAGCTGAGGTCGTCTTCGACGAGGTTAATCCTTTTTTGTGGTCACTGCTGGCCGTGCACATCCACCCTCGCGCGCGCGCGCGCAGGCAGCCTGGGGGCGCGCTGCTGCTTCGCGGTGCTGCGGAGGTGGTGCTGCGCTTGCCTCTCACCTCACCTGCCGCACGGAGCGTGCGCGACTGGAGGGCCCGGCCCGGCCCCGGCCAGACCCCGGGCCCCGGGCCCCCCGCCACAGACCAGAGCGCCGTGTGCTTTTAGGAGAAAGGGAGACGCGTGGCGGGGAGGGGACGGCCCTAGTGTTGGAGTGGAGGCCGCGGCCGCCGCCGCCCCGCGGCCGGAGAAAGGGGAATCGTGGGGTCGGCGGAGGGGATGGGGG